CAGAGCGGAAATCTCACCAAAGTTCTAGAGATACATACATTTGTATAAACAATTTTAAGTTTTTAGTGTTTTAGCTGCAAAAGGGTCTGTGTGCAGATTAGAGTCCTGCACCGGGTCAGGTATGGCATGTTCCCACAGTAAACCTTCATCTACGGGTAGAAAATAAGATTGTATGTCGTCACAGGTACTGGCACTGAGATAAGAAAAAGTGGTAGCATCAAAAGAAATACACATGAATAACAATTCTTATTCATATTTCAATTTTTTATTCATTCTACATCTAAATGAGTTTATAATGGGCATTTTTATAAACATGGAACGAAGCAGTCTGCACTCAATTGAAGACACAATCAGCAAAGGAAGATGCTTTGGAGGTTTTACTCTGATGGAAAAATGATGCAAAAATGTTTCTGAACCTAGCAGTGATAGAGCATAATCTGCCTGCCATCCTGGCATCAAGTTTAGCTAGAGCCAGAGACTTTTAATTGGCGGGATTAATGCAGCCAGTGACTTTGGAAGACATTCTTTTTCCACACAGCAAACTTAAAAGCAATGTCTGGATATAAGTAAGTAAGACCCTAGGTGATAAAATAAACAGTGACATTGGAATAAATTAGTCTGAGCTTAGAGGTATTTTTGGAGTGTGCTCCAAAAATATTTAAAACTGTCCTATAAAAAAGCTAAAAGCTAAAACTTTAAACACATGTGGACAGTTGTTGGTACCACTTATTCAATGAAATAAAAACTTTGATTGAAATTACGGAAATAAGTTGAATAGGTAAATAAAAATTCTGTGATGGACAAATAAAAGTCCGACATTGGTTTGGGGATCCTGTGACCCCTGGCTCTTTTTCCTCAAGCAGGGTCTTAAACTATCCTCATTAAAGGGTCTGATGATGTCGGTCAAAGTGGCTTTGCAAATAATGAATAGGGGAAACAAAGGAAGCAAAGGATGATATATGTAGCCGACTGTGCAGGCAAAGACAAACACACCCTCCGAGTGCGTCTTCTGCACCGCTGATAGTATTGGTAATTTTGTTAACGCAAAACCCAATAAGGTAAACATGCTTGTTTCCTTTTCAAAAATGTATAAGTTTAGTCCAATGGGAATAGTTTGACTCTTTTCCAGTTGTTCTGTTTATTTCAGAGACATTATAGTTTTTTTTAAATCATTATTCATTTGTTTATCTGAATGCACTAAATCTGAGACTGAAAACTGGGATGGATCTTTTTTTTATGTGCAGCGTACAACTTCACTGGAATAGAGAATTTTTCAATTTTCTTTTTTTTTTGTTATTTAATTTTGTATTAGTTGCGTTAAATTCAAATCCGTAACAGATGGAGCGATCTGTAAATACACTTAAAATAACTGTCTCTCTCTGGTTCTGGTTTGGCTCTTAAAAACAACAAAACAAAAAAAACAAAAAAACAGCTAGTTTTTGGTTTGAATCAGTTCTTTCTTCCTCTCTCACGTTTAAGTAAATTGCTGCTGCACAGTGACACAAAGAAAAAAGCTGCAGCTGGGAGGAGTTTGTGTGTACCATGAAAAACAGCATTAGGGTTTATTTATTTATTTTGGTCGTGGACTGTTTCCTAACCCAATGGTTAGAAAAAGAAACAAAAAAATTAATATCTTTTTAGAACAAATGATTGTGAGGTAAAAATTCACAATCATGACTTTAATTCTCTATCTTCAAGCCCCAATGCCTATATGCTTCTCTTATACACAGACAATAGTTGTCTTGCAACTTAACAGACAATTTTAGACCTACAGCTGGAATCTTTAAATGGCCAAACTACACCTCTGAAGAGCATTTGGTAAGAAGAAAATGTCCCAATTGATAAGGAGGGAAAGAAAGCTGTGACCTTCTTGTTGTAATTACCTAACTATTTTCCTCTCCACGGAGTTAAGAAAAATTTGAAATGGTGCCATGCTGTTTGATAGTGCCTGTGTTTTTCCCCAGTATCAAACTGCTTTTTCCTTCTTTATGAGCCAACCTGCTGCAATAAAAGAAGGAATAAAACTTTGTCTTCAAGTTGAGACCTTCTGAATGTTTTTCAGATGAAAAGAATCTCAAAGATTAAAGAAGCCAGGGATGGACTCTTTATTTCATTTGCTCACTCATTCAGTAGAAGCCACTAAAAGAATGAGAGCGAAATAAATGTTTTCTCACTTTATGGTGAGAAAGTATTAAGAAGTCTGTGCACTAAAAAAAAGAAAGAAGATATAAAATACTTGAGCTTTTAAGGTGCTGATTGTTTCTGTCTATTGGTTAAGGACCATTTCTTTTGCCTCCCTAAGGGTGTATTTTGACAAGGAATTTTTGCATAAAATTCAAAGAATTTGGGGCAAAAAAAGTCTGGGCTGAATAAAGACTAGTACTGACAGTCTATATATACAGTATTCCTTTTAAGTGTGTTCTGGTCATATTGAATTATTCAGATTAAGGCTAAGATAACTTAAAATTTGTAAATAATTGATAAATTAGTTAACCTTCATCAAGCCGGCACAAAATTCTGACTTTTTTGTTTTCCTAAATGAGACCCAACACTGAATTATACCATATCTGAGTTAATCCTTCAAATTTCAATAATTCAATTATAGCATAGAAATAAGTATCAGTGCTTTCTTTCACTCCCTCTCTCATGTTGTTTTTTGTCAACAAATATATTTCTGTTCATTTCAATTGTAGATTTGCTATCCTGTTTTTCAGTTAAGATATAGGTAGATTGGGTGACCTGTTTTAATATAATCATGTTTCAGGTCAGCATCATAAAAGACACCTCTGGCTAACACATGTTTTATTTTTGTGTGTGCTAAATGCGGTTATTATCCATCAAAATGTAAATTGGTATACCATTTTTACCAAGACCCTGTTTCTCACAAAGACTCTGGAACTGTTGTAGCTAGAGGTCTGAAATTTTCTGCATTTGTATTTGACATGGTGCAGAACAAATGCAATACAATGAGACATGCCTACTCTTCAGCACGTCTTTATCACTGCTGTTAAAAAAGACCTTTAATCTCAAGTATTGCACCCATAATTTGGGCTTACAGTTCCTAAGTTGTTTGCTTTTCTATTTGGGTATGGAAAATAGGCGAGAATTTCCCAAAATGAGGTAGATGTTAAGAAAAGCTAATTCACCATTCCTTTCTTTTATTCCACACACATCTGATAACCAAATGAATCAAGGAATGAAGTAATGAACAGAATCCCGCCATTTGGACCTGCACAGGAGGTGTATATATGGGAGACAGAACAAATAATGGGCTAATCAGCTGATAGGGAGCAGGTGTGGATAGAAGGAACTAGATGGGAGCTAGGGGAAAGGAGACTGGCACAAGGGGGCAACAGAGAGTAACTTACAACACTGCTTAACTATATAATGGACCCCAGGAACAGTAGTCTCTACTCTCGTAGAGACTAATTGGGGTCCTTAAATAAATGAATAGCTAGAAAACAAACAAAAGTGGAAATTAAATTAATGACCCAGAAAAAAACAGAATGACATAAATCAAAGTGTAACTGAAAACTCAAAAAGGAAACAGAATCAGGAAGTGCAAAATCATGATAATTTGTGCATTCACCTTTGCTGCTTACTGCTGCCGCTGGTTGAATAAAGCATTGCAGCTGTACACAAACCATTCCCCAAAAGCCCAAAAGTACTTTGGTCAGCAGGGACGAAAGTCCCAGGACAGTAGAGCCCATAGAAAGTGTATTTACCGAGCCTAGGTAAATGTGTATGGAAATTCTACCCGTGCTTTCAAAAGCCTTGGGCTCCTGAAAAGCCCCAGGGTTTTGAGTGGCAATGGAAAAGGTGCTATTGGTATTAAGATGCTGCTGTCAAAGCAATGTAAAGTGCTCAGGAGAGAGCATCCTTTGTGGAGCAATTTTCCCTGTAGGTGAACTGCCAGTTGTCCAGGCCTGCTGGCCTCTTGAAGCGCTTTATGGTTATTGAGGTCAAAGCTATAGTGTGGTAATAATTGATCCAGGCAACAGTTGATTGTTATGGCAATGATTGAAGCCTTTGGATGGGAAGGGACAAAAAAAAAAGGAAGGATATCTGCATAAAACCCTGCAAATTGGTCAGCTCATGATTTTAGCAGTCAAACAGACACCATGTCTGCACTTGCAGCCTTGTCAGTGTTGATATATGTAATGCAACTCACCTGGATTTGCTGCAGGACAAGAAGCACCTCCAGCTTATGTGGACATTCAGTCCTTGTGCTGCTTAGAGGCAAGGCATGCGAGGTGTAGGGAAGAGCTGGGTTATAGCTGAGCTGCTGGTCATTGTGTTTATAATATGTAATGTGCCTAATGCTTCTCCACATACTTTGTGAGTTGTTGTTGAAGAGCTTCTCAAAGCGGTGCTTGTACCTGTGCTTTGTCTGTTAAATTCCATATTCCATTTCTCTACGGACCCTGTTATACACAGTCTATCACCTGATTTGTAAGCTTCATCCATAGATTTAACCATGGGCCATATTGTGCTGTCTTCTCATGGTATCTAGTTAGAAAAAATGCCATACTATTTATTGTGAGTAGGACAGCATCAGTAAAAAGGGTTATTTGACTGAACAAATAATGTATATTCCTCCAGATTGTCCTCTTTTCACAGTCTATGTGCCCAAAGCTGAGCTAAACAGGCCTCTTCAGTCCAAACCTAAATGTTTCTGTACAAGAGAGGTTAGCAGTTTGCTAACAGAGATCTAGTCCAAAGAGATATGCATTGACATTCCAAAGAGATGAGCTACTGACCTGTATTTTACAGAAATGTTGCAGTAGACCTGGTTCAATGTACTTTGGTCTCTGAAGGTTTATGAATTTGGGGAGCACAGCTTTTCACACAGATTATCTTTCATTTGGCTGTTGATGAGAGTGTATAGCTCTTCTAAGGATTACTTAACATTAGTTCTAGGTGATATGTAGGCTGCTATATTAATAACAAAGCTAAGTTCTCTAATCAGTTTTGATATTCTGTTTTCTTCTGTCATGTAGCCAGTCCGTGGGCAGCACCTGGCAAACTGTTGCAGACCATGTGAAGCAGGAGAGGCACACAGTGGTTGGACTTTTCCCCAATACAGTTTATCTCTTTATAGTCCGAGCAGTCAACTCTTACGGCCTCAGTGACCCCAGTCCAATATCTGAGCCGGTCCGGACACAGGGTGAGTTTTTTTCAGATGTTCTCATCTGCTATAAAAAGACACAAAGTTATCATGGTTGTAAATCATGACAGTACAGTCAATTATTTTAAACTTTTTTTTCCAATGTTTTTCACATATATCCTGGAATGTTCAAGTGATAGAAAACTGCACTAAATACTATCTTGAGTATACACACCCATTACTTAACAGTTATTTAAGTATCTATTGGGCATTTGAGCATTTAGTTTCCTTTAATTACACCATAACACCAATAATTAAAGTGGATCTGATGTAACACATACAGTTCAGCTGTCCTGGAAGGATCTTCTCGTCTTTTTCTCCTAAGGGTCAATCATTTAAAGACATGTTTTGCAGTGTGGCTAAAAAAAAGACAAGAAGGAGGCCATGGGACAATAGTAGCAGAATGGCATAGAGAAATAAATTCCAAAAAAGTTAAAAGGAAGCCACTGGACTTTGTTTTCCAAGTTGAAGACATTTTACTTCCCATCCAGAAAGCTCTCCAATTCAATTCTTCAGTGTCATCAAATTTTAGCCAGTCTT